GTAACGCACAATTAATAGTAATTATTTGTACTTTTACTTCAATGAGTCACATTAAAATTAAAAAATTGAACAAAACCACGATTTAGCAGAAATTGAAATGCGTTGTTATAAATCTATCTAATCTTCAAGGTAATTACATACCAACATCCAGCAAGGTTGTCTATAATGTTGGTAAATTACCATACGAAGACTGGTGTAGTGTCAAGTCAAAGTTCATAATTTTTTCTACCAACATATGGTCCCGATTTTCACTAAAATCGTTTCACAATTTTCTTGTGGTAGTAATATGCTTACATCATTTAGAAGTATGTCTAGTGAAGAAACCATAAAACAGTTACAACAGGTTTTGAAGAAATTTTATTAAGATTTTAGCTAGTTCAAGGTTATTTTTTCGCGGAAAGTGAATGAACTAGGAAAAATCAAGAATTAGTGTCAGCACAAAGGTAAAGGAATACAGGAAGAGCAGAATCCGGTTTTGATGACCTTAGTCATGTTTCAAATTTTGCTTTTTCACATTTATTAAGTTTTCATGGTTGGTTTATGTATATTTATATTAAACAGTGATGGAAACATCGAGAGATTTTTAACTTTGTCCTGTCCAGATTTCCCCTAATTAAATTTCAAAACCCTGAATAAAAAAAGTAACGAATAAAAAAAATTGACATCACTTAGGTTTTCCTCGTCTTGTTGCTTGTACAAAAGTTTTTGATTAATATTTTATTGTCAATAAACTTGATTGCAAAAAAACCCAAAAGAAATTTTTAATTGAAAATTAAAAAAATATTTCACAGTAAACAACTCAGCAAAATTTGCAAAATTATTAGCAATAAATGTGCTTCTGTGAAAGGTATAAACAAGCTCGCAAGGTTTCGGTGATGAAAAAGAAAATAAAATTTTTTGAATGCTTTACTACGTAAAAACTACATTTTAAGAATTTTTACCAATTTTTGTAATAATCAAAACTGTTTTCTACGCTGTTGAGGTTCTTCTTCTGCATGCGCAGTCATAATTAAACAATAAACAAATAACACAGCGAGAGTTACAATCTATCAAAAAACAAATTAATTAATAAATAAAAAAATTGACGTGCAACATACCTTCAAATATTCGAACATATTTAACCGGTCAAAAGCAAAAATCGGTTAATGTACACTCATCGCCAGCAATTTCTTATATAGTCCATACTTACTTAGATATTAACATATTAATTAAAAAATTAAAAATTTAAATATACTTTATCCATACTAGAAAATATAAAGTTTAAGTACAATATAAAAAAAAAAACATTTTTTCAAGAATTTACGTCAATATA